ATCCCATTATTTATAGCAAACTACATTATCCAAACCCAACATTCAATAGTAGGGAAAACCTGAACACATTTAACAAACAGCGCTAGAGTTTTACAGTTTACTTACATTTTACAGCTAATCTTCTATCCTCTTAACCCAACTCAACAGAACTGATTCAGCTTGATCCGTGACTTTCCACAGTCTAACCCTTAAACACCCAGTAGTTATATAAAAGTAAGCCTTGCCCCACAGATTTAGATGAGATTGACCTCTTGCTCCATTAAGACAAATAACATCCTTTAGAAGAATGCAAGTCTAGGACAAAACAGCTACAGCAGCTATCTTTAAAATAAGGCAAGAAAAAAGCCCACAGCAGGCTATGTAAATGCTGCCACATGCTAGACTCAAGCTCTATTACAGGAGATGTTGCTGCACAGCAATTGGGTCTATGAAAAACAGCAGCCTAGAATTTAATAATAAATAAAGGAGAGCATGTTGACTCCCGATATTGGGCTTTCATTCAGAACCAACTCCAATTTTCAAAGTGAACTTCAACGTGAGTCACCTGGTGCTAAATCTTCAGAAGAGCTCAGCTTCCAGCAGCTCCCACTGAGAATGACAGAGTTTTCTCCCCTTCACCCACCTGAGAACAGCAGAAGCTCCTAGCCACTGAGCATCTTGGAAAACATGGGTCTGATCCAGCCTGGCAATTCCAGATGACTTCAGGTGGCAGTGAGCTCACATCTTGCGTGAAAAAGTATTTCCTTTTTGTCAGTTTTGAATTTCCCAAATTTCATGGCACATCCCCTTTTAATTTTAATTTCATGGCACGTCCCCTTGTTCTTGTGATCGGAGACAGGAAGACCAAAAGTTCCTGATCTATCTTTTCTAGAAGACATTTCATTATTGTAGGTACATTTATCCTGTCCCCTTCTCATTCATTTACTGTCTAAGAACAATCCCAGTCTTTTCAATCTCTCTTCATGGGAAAGTTTTTCCAGGCCCTTATTCATTCTCACCCCTCTTCTCTGAGCTCTTCCAGTTCTATAATAGCCTTTTCAAGATGAGGTGACCAATATTGCACACAGTATCCCGAAGAAGCTTCTGCTTACCTTTGGCCATGATGAAAGTTGACCATTTCATCCTGTTCTTTGCTTTCTGTATCCTAGCTAGGTTTTTTCCCCCTCCATGAAAATTTGGCCACTTCTGTCCCACCACTACCATGTTTGACCAGTTCTCTGCAACTGATACAACTGCCAATCTGAGACAGTCGTGGGCTGTATTAATGTGGACTTGAAACGTCAGCTTAATATGCAAAAACACAGACTGCTTTCCAGCAGTGAAACTTAGAGAGTCCCCATAGGCTCCTCCATGCCACTTAAACCCTCATTAAGGGTTTGGAAACTCACCCCAAAGTATGTAGAAGTATCCTACATAAACTGCAGCTTGGATGAATGCTAGCTGGCTGAGATTCAACCAAGACCAGCACAAGACTTCCCCACTTTGAGAACAATGGAACAAAACCAAACCAGAAATAAGATGTTAAATCAGACATTCTCACAAATACTCTCCAAAAGCAAACAGATCATTTTAATTCTTTGATGTCTGACAAAGGTTAGCAAAGTAACCCCCCCAAATGACACAAATTAAGGCTTGGTCTCCACTACAGCTTACTTTGGTATAATCCATACCCCTGAGAGACATAAATTACACCAGCCTAAGCACCGATGCGGACAGCGCTATGTCAGCAGGAGAGCTTCTCCGACCAACATAGCTACTGCCTCCCATGGAGGTGGAGTTTATGCCGAGGGGAGAGCTCTCTCCCACTGCACAGAGGGTCTTCACCAGACACACTATAGCAATGCAGCTGACTTTGATAAGTCAACTTTTAAGAAAACAATACTTGAATTTTGTCGACAGCATATCATTTCACACAATCAGAAGAAAAAGAACACACACATTACAACCTCTGTAGTAAAACGCAGAGACCAACTTCTTTAAAAAAAGTAGAAGCTTTGAGTCAATGGGCCCTGCCAGGTACATAGCTTTTTGAAAATCAAACAACCCTGGATCCTGGCTTTGGGCAATTTTGAAAATCTGGACATAGTGTTTTCTTGGGTGTCCAAAATTACATTTTAACCTACAGAGTGTAGAATACTCTTTTGCCTTGTAATAATTCTTAACTGAACAAAAAGCTGCCATCTCTCTCAGTCTTTCCGGTTCATAGGATACAAATTTCAAATATTTTTAATCTATTTCAAACTAAAGACTGATCCTGTTAAAATTTTCCAAGTAGAAGAAAGTATTTCAATTACAATATCTAATCTTCTTAGAGTTGCAACAGATTCTATGAACATACAGGAGCCATTCCAAGCACCTTTTAACTAGTCAAAGGATTCACACAAAAGAGTAACACACACAATTTATCAGTATTACTGATGCGAGTTTCTTGGAATCTGTATGTGTACGCAACTGAGATTTCAATTAATGTACTCTTTCACACAGCTACAAAAGAAAAAAGTCAGGGGAAAAATCAGAGTGCAACAATTTCAGGAGACTAAACACAAAGAGGAAAAGGGATTTTTTAGGTCTGACTGGGGGTTTTGTTATGCCTCCCACTCCGGTTGGTGGAGAGTACTCAACACCTGTTGCCAATATTGAGAGAGAGAGAGAGAGAGAGAGAGAGAGGGGTTTTCCTTTGTACTTGATGTTTAGATGCATCTAGTTCACCTGATAAGTGCTGGAAGCGGAGTTCTCCATTTATCAACACCACAGTTACAGCCCAGGAATTATCGCTGCTGGCCCAAGCAGGGACCAGGATGGATCATGGGGGAGGGTTAGCGAACACCCACCAGACCGAGATGCAGGCACAGGCAGTGCTTACGGCTGTTATTTGTGCATTTTACTTATGTTTTTTGCAGTTAATTTTTTTGCTTTGCTTTTAATTAATTCAATTTAGTGTAAACACCAGATTGGTCAGCAGTCAAGGAAAACTGTACTGTGTGTCCACACAAGTCCAGGTATGCACCTCATATTTAAATAGCTATCAATGGCTCACAGAAATGGAAGCTTACGCTCTCCCTTCAGTCACTTACATAACTTAAAAAGAAAAGGAGAACTTGTGGCACCTTAGAGACTAACCAATTTATTTGAGCATAAGCTTTCATGAGCTACAGCTCACTTCATCGATGAAGTGAGCTGTAGCTCACGAAAGCTTATGGTCAAATAAATTGGTTAGTCTCTAAGGTGCCACAAGTACTCCTTTTCTTTTTGCGAATACAGACTAACACAGCTGTTACTCTGAAACCATACACAACCTAATACACTGAGTCAGAGACGTAAGTGACTGAGCCAGGACATAGGCTGGGACACAACGAGCAGCTCTCTGCTTAAGAAATGTTTAAATTGTCCACATTATACCACATGAGCTGAAGCAGCAGCCCCACTATCCTCAGTTTAAGTACTATTCCACCTCCTTTCCAATTAAAAATCTTTATAAATAAAATATATTGCAAAGTACTTTCATTATTGGGGGAGGGGGGAAGACAGCAAGAAATCTCAGAGCATTGCTTAAGGTCGAGAGTTTACTTTGATTTTATGCCAGCATATGCACGATTGCTAATGCATCCTTTTCTGGTTCTCTTTGAGGCTGCAGTAGTAAAGGTGGCAACAGTTCTATGAAGTGAGATAGCAGCATCTACATACGTACTAAATGAAACAGAATCTAAACCAGACGCCATCTGAAAATTTCTGTTACCTAAATATGTACTATTGTGATATTATCACCTCTTTCAAACATTGGTTTTAAAGCAGAGGTGGGCAAACTACGACCCATGGGACTGTCCCCCGGCCCCTCCCCCGCTGTCCCCCTCTCTCGCAGTCACGCCGCTGCGCGGGCAGCGTTCTGACCCACCGCTCCTGTCGGGCAGCCTGGCTGGCTCCAGCATGGTAAGGGGGTGGGGAGGAGGGGGGTTGGATAAGGGGCAGGGGGGTCCCGGGGGGCAGTCATGGGACAGGGAGCAGCTGGATGGGCGGAGGTTCGGGATGGGGGGCAGTCATGGGACAGGGGGCAGGGGGAGTTGGATAGGGTCCCAGGGAGCAGTTGGGGCAGGGGTGTGGATGGGGTCGTGGCAGTCAGGGGACAGGAAGCGAGAGGGGGTGGGGGGTTGGATAGGGGGCGGGGTCCCGGGGGGCAGGGGCCAGGCTGTTTGGGGAGGCACAGCCTTCCCTGCCCGGCCCTCCATACAGTTGCGCAAGCCCGATGTGGCCCTCAGTCCAAAAAGTTTGCCCACCCCTGTTTTAAAGTTTCACATATATTTTAAAGCATCAATGAAAATTTGTTTTAAAAAATGTTTTGGAGTTATTCTCCAAACAATGACTCTCAAACCAAGGTCTGAGACTCACTTCTAGGTGGTCTGCAGAGCTACTTAACAAAGATGATGAAGCACCCTTCAGTATTCAGGAAGTGACTATTCCTCCTAGATCTAGACAGGAATTGGAGGTTTTCTGAAGGCTTTTTTTAAACAAAAAAATCAATTAAATAAAAACCTTCTTTGCATTCATAGCTTCCTTTTTTGTTTTTTTGAGTATGTAAATTCAAACACAACTGAGTTACAGAAAGCCCCAAAGTGAAGGGGAAGCAATAAAATGTGAACACAAAAATGCAGAGTAGGGAGCACAGGCAACTTGGGGGTTAAGTCTTACTCCCTGAAGACCCTACCCTGAGGGACAAAAATAGACCATACAGCTAGAAAAGGGGGGACAAAGGGAAATATGACCATGCAGCAGCCGCACATCTCAAATTAAGTTTATTTTGATCCTGTTTCGTTCAGACCATACTAATGTTCCCTCATGTAACCACGTACTGTAGTTGTGGGGAAGGGATGGAATTAGGCTGGGAAGAGAATTACCCCCAAAAAGTTACCCAAAAACCAAACAGCTTTGAAAACCAGTGCTCTGAAAGAATGAGTGATACTGAAATTATGTAAAGGCTGCTAAAGCCAAGCTGAATCACACCTTACCTGGAAAAGCGTATGGGTTTGGCGATCCTCTTTTAAGGCACTTGGAACAGAGGACGTGCACGGTGTAGTACAGACCTGGCCATTCTTGAAGCAGTACATTCAGTTCTTCCACTAAGGGGGTAATAGCTTGCCAGGCTGTCCATATATTTGGTAGAGATGCGTGACTAGCAATAGACAGAGTGTCTGGCTGCTGAGTGGTCCTAGCAGGCCTGTAACTCACCACCACAGGTACCTTCCCCCTGTAGGCATAAATCTGGTATTTGCCATCGGACCGCTGAACCACATGGCTGTTAATCTGGACACTGTAGCGTGCAAATAACCCAGATGGGAAAATGAAGGGGAAGGTGTATTCAATCTGCAACTGTTCAATGACAAGAGACTGTCCGCTCAGGTTGGTACCATTAATCCATGCCTCTGCATGGGGCACCTCGTTCTTCACATAGCAGGGGAACTTGTACCAGGCAGTGGCCCCATTCAGGGGTTTGCATTTGGGCTTATTGATGCAGTAGCAGAGCCCCATTTTCTCCAGCAGCTCCAGGATAAGCTGCAGGTCCTCCCGGCTCTGGATATGGGGTTTGAGAAGCAGGCGGATAACATGGGCAGGAAGAAGCCCATGCAGCAGGAACCCTTCCACGTAGTGGTGGAGCTGGGTGGTTCTCAGTTCATCTATATGGGTGTCACTGAGCAGTTTCTGGAGCAGCACCGTGGTGTCCCGCTGGCAGAAGACGTTGAGGATGTCAATGAGCCCAGGCAGATTGTGGAATACGTACTCCCGCAGAGTCAGATGTTCCTCGAAGTACAGGAGCTTGCCACTTTCATGCAGATAGGACAGGGCGCTCTGGAGTCGGTCCTCGGTCAGGCCCGCCTGCAAGCCCAGCCGTGCCGAATCCCACCAGCTGAGCCACAGTTGCTGAGCCTGCGGCTGGAAGTGCAGCTCTTCCAGCACCTGCCAGGACTTGGGTAGCACCCGGTGCAGGTTTGGGAAGATGTCCCGGTGCTCAGCTACTGACAGAAGCTTGTCCCGCAGGCGGCGCACCTGGTAGTGGTCCTGGCAGCTAATGGGCAGCACCGGCGAGAGGATCTGCAGCCGGTGGTTGAGCAGATACTGGAACTGGGCCTTCTTGCGCCGCAGGTTCTTGTCTGAAACCCCATAGAAGGCAGTGTGGGGGCTGGAGCAACGCAGGTCAAAGTCCTGTCCCAGGGCATTGTCCACCTGCTGGGCCAAGCTCTGGAGTCCCTCGGCATCCCGCTTCTCCTGAAGGGCAATTTGGTGGTGGATGTCCAGGCACTTCTCCTCCAGTTCCCGCTCAGCACACAGGTCAGCATGCGTGCCCACCATGCACACTACAGCATGGGGCACTTTGGCACCTAGCCAGTGCAGGAAGTAGCCCACTGCAGAGTAGAAGCAATGTGGGGTGTAGGCACTCAGGTTCACCACCAGCACATACAAGGCTCCCGGCGAAAGGAAGAAGGATTGGATCACGTCGTAGCTAGGGTCACCCGCCAGCTCATACACAATGAAAGTCAGACCCCTCTCTGCATCTGCTGTCCAGTCCGTCACCTCGATACCCTGTCTGGTGCCGGTCAGGCCTGCTACCAATGGCGTTAGGGGGGCATCTCGCTCCAGCAGCACGGGGAAGTGTCCTATCTGGGCTTCCCCATTAACTTTTGGGGATGGAGACAGGCAGACGTCCTGGTGCTCTAACCTGATTTTCCCAGCAACTTTAAGGGACGAGGACAGCAATGGGTCCTGCTGCTCAATGGAGGTATGTCCTACCGAGGAGCCTTTTGAAGTCGAAGCATCTCGGGGCTCAGTGATGGGGCTGTGTCCTAGCTGTATTTTCCCACCACCTTCAGGAGTCAGGCCCAGAGCGATGTCTTGTTGCTGCTGGGTTCTCCCACCATCTTTGCCAGCTGCAGCCAGGGGAGAGTCTCTCTGCCTCTCCTCCTCCATCAGGCACCTTCTCAGCAAGGTCTTGCCAGCATCCTTCAGGCCCATGAGGACCAGCTTGAGCCGGGGCTTGAGAGCAGGCTGGGAGTGGGCCAACTCCTGCTGGTAAGCAGCAATGTAGGGGATGCCCTTCATGCAAACCTCGTAAGGGGGCTGAATGAGCGGGTTGTCCTTGATCTTCCAGAGGGTGACCCGGGAGAGCTGCCCAAAGCCCTCGGGCAGGATGGCGATCTGGTTGCCCTGCAGCACGAGTTCCTCCAGGCTGTGGAGCTGCACAATGGAGTCGGGCAGGTAGCGGATCCGGTTGTTGTCCAACCAGAGGGTGCGGAGCTGGTGCAGCTGGCAGAGGCGGGCAGGCAGCAAGGGCAGCTGGTTGCGGCTCAGGTAGAGCTCCTCCAGGCTGGGCAGGGCGAGCACGGCCTCGGGGAACTCACCCAGCAGGTTGGAGGAGAGGTTCAGCATCTTGAGGCGCTGCAGGCGGCCGAAGCCGGGGGGCAGGACCCGCAGCTGGTTCCCATCCAGCATGAGGCTCTCCAGGGCGCCCAGCTGGCACAGCCCCTCGGGCAGCGCGCCCAGCCCCGTGCCGCTCAGCCACAGGATCTTGAGGCAGCGCAAGGCGGCGATGCCCTCGGGCAGCACGCGCAGCTGCCGGTTGCCGGAGCAGTCCAGCTCCTCCAGCGCGCCCAGCTCCAGCAGCGGCGCCGGGAAGGCGGGCAGCTGGTTGTGGTCCACGTCCAGCGAGCGCAGCCGCGGCAGGCGGCCCAGCGCCTCGGGCAGGCGGCGCAGGCGGTTGAAGCTCAGGTCCAGCTCCTCCAGCCGCCGCAGCGCGCCCAGCCGCCCGGGCAGCGCCGCGCCGTCCGCGCCCAGCTGGTTGTGGCTCAGGCTCAGCTTGCGCAGCTCCCGCAGCGGCGCCAGCGCCTCGCCGTCCCCCAGGCCGCCCAGCCGGTTGTGGCTGAGGTCGAGCTCGGCCAGGCGGCCCAGGTGGCGCAGCGCGGCGGGGAGCCGGGACAGGCGGTTCCTGCGCAGGCTGAGGACGCGCAGGCCGCCCAGCGCGGCGCCCAGCCCCTCGGGCAGCTCCTCCAGGCCGCGCCCGCTCAGGCTCAGCGCCGCCGGCTCGCCCGGCCCGGCGGGCAGCGGCGGGCGGCGCGGCGCGGGCGGCCCGGCGGGCTCCGGCTCCTCGCGGGGGCCCAGGCTCAGCTGCCGCAGGTTGCTCCGCAGCTTCCGTGCGCGCAGGGCGGCGTCTCGCCACCGCCGGGCCGCCGCGGGGGGCTCGGGCTCGGCCATGGCCCGCCGGGGCGGGAGTGCGGCTGCCCTACCGGCCGGGCCTGGCCGCGGAGCGCTCGGCGCAGCCCCCTCTCGCCGCCGGGCCGGGCCCTCCCCAGCCCGCCGGCGCCTCGGCAGCCGCCAGCCCCATGCTCCGCGCCCGGCCGGCTCCGGGAGAGGGGCGCGCCGCGCCGCGCCGCGCTGCGCCGCCCCGCCGGGGGAGGGGCCCAGGCCGGCCCGCCCCCTGCCGGAGGCGGGACACAGGCCGGGCCCCGATCGCCGCCCCGGTCCCCCGGCGCCGGGAACTGCGCCCCTCCCGCCTCCTTCAGCGCAGCCCGGGCTCAGCCTCCCGCACCCCGACCGCCCCGTCGCCCCGGCCGGTCGCCCCACGCCCCAGCTGCTCGGGATCCAGCGCACCGCCCGCTTCCCGGGCTGAGGAGCCTGCCTGCAAAGCGGCGCCGCCGCCTGCGGTCTGCTCAGCGAGCGCCTCGGCCGGGGGCGCGCCAGGCTGTTGGGTTCGCGGCGCAGCCTTGGTCCCCTGGACTTAGGCAGTGTCAGGGAGCCCCCCGGCGATGCTCGGGAACGGCGCTGAATGAGGCCGGTCAGGGCTCTGGTGGAGCGAGCCTCCCTGCTCTGAGCGCAGTGTCTTCAGGGCCGGCGCCTGCCCGGCGTCGGCCCTCCCGGGTCTGAGCTCAGAGCCTTCAGCATCCCGGGGTCACCGTGCGCTTCCCGCAGCGAGCCCGCCTGGGCTGCCGGGCTCCTGAGGAAGCCGGTGCGCCCTGCGCCCCAATTCCGCAGTCAGCCATGGCTCTCAGTCAGCCATGGCTCTCAGCCAGCGAGTAAAACCGAAGGTTTATTAGTCCACGGGAGCACACCATAGCACAGAAATCAGTGATTTTCAGCCAAGTCCATCTTAGGAGAACCCCAGACATCCTGGACTCCCCTCTCCTTCAGCCCCGCATGGTAGACTGCCCTGGACCCTGCTGCCTGGGCTCTGACATGCCCATTGCTCCTCCTCCGGTCTTCGTCCTACTTCCCAGGCAAGGTGTCACCTGGTCGCATCCCCCTCCTGGTTCTCAGGTTAGGAAGGGCACCGCCATAGCTTACGTGCAGGCAGCTGGAGCAGTCTCACCTACCCTGAGGGCCCCAGCAATAGTCACACACCCAATTTCCACCACCTAGGCATTGGTGCAGCACACAGGGAAACTGGCGTACACACAGTGTTCATACAGGACAGTAAGATTCACATGCAACATAACAAGGGGGAAAATCCCACTTTGTCACACAGGGGTTGTAGAATCAGGCTGTCACTTTCTCTGCACCCCAACTGTTGGGGGTGGGGGAGTGACTTTTGCCACATATATATAATGATGGGGTCTAAATTAGCTGTTACCACTCAAGAAAGAGATCTGGGAGTCATTGTGGATAGTTCTCTGAAAATATCCACTCAATGTGCAGCAGCAGTCAAAAAAGCAAACAGAATGTCCCTGGGAATCATTAAGAAAGGGATAGACAATAAGACAGAAAATATCCTATTGCCTCTATATAAATCCACCGTACCTCCACATCTTGAATACTGCGTGCAGATGTGGTTGCCCCATCTCAAAAAAGATATACTGGAGTTGGAAAATGTTCAGAAAAAGGCAACAAAAATGGTTAGGGTTATAGAATGGCTTCCGTATGAGCAGAGATTAATAAGACTGGGACTTTTCAGCTTGGAAAAGAGACGACTAAGGGGGGATATGACAGAGGTCTATAAAATCATGACTGGTGTGGAGAAAGTAAATAAGGAAGTGTTATTTACTCCTTCTCATAACACAAGAACTAGGGGTCACCAAATGAAATTAATAGGCAGCAGGTGTAAAACAAACAAAAGGAAGTATTTCTTCACTCAACGCACAGTCAACCTGTGGAACCGGTTTCCAGAGGATGTTGTGAAGGCCAAGACTATAACAGGGTTCAAAAAAGAACTAGATAAATTCATGGAGGATAGGTCCATCAAAGGCTATTAGCCAGGGTGGGCAGCGATGGTGTCCCTAGCCTCTGTTTGCCAGAAGCTGGGAACGGGTGACAGGGGATGGATCACTTGATCTTTGTCCTGTTCTGTTCATTCCCTCTGGGGCACCTGGCATTGGCCACTCTCAGAAGATCGGATACTGGGCTAGATGGACCTTTGGTCTGACCCAGTGTGGCCATTCTTATGTTCTTATTTGTCAACAGATCTTTGAGCCTTTGTCCACTGAAACATTAACTGATCAAAATCCCTCTCCAAGGAGAAGCTGGCTTGTGAGTAAGTCCTTGGGACTCTGCTGAACCTGCCCCTATTATTGCCTCCTGCGCTCACCCTGCTCTAGCAAGAGGTCACTCCCAGCTGCTGAGCAGAAAGCAGCAGCAGCAATGCTGGGCGCTCCCTCTCCGGCTGGATGGTCTTGGCAGCTGAGTTTATTTTGTTATCACTGACTATTTCTATTGGCACCTCTCGGCTGGTAGGGGACTGGCAAGGGCTTTCTGGCTGTCCTGGTTACACAGGACAGGGCTGACATTTGGCTGCCCCTCCAGCCCTCCCTTTGGGGTTCTGCTCTCTGGGGGCATGGCCCAGATTCCCTTAGCCTATATGGGGATGAGCTGTCCTGGGCAAAGTGAACCTGCCTCCCCCAGAGCAGCCATTGCCTGAAGAAAACGCTTCTGTGGAACTCATTCCTCGCTGCCCAAGAGGGGCAGTTTGGTCTAAGGGAATCTAGGCTGCACCCCCAGGGAGCAGAGCCCTGACGGCAGAGCTAGAGGGGCAGCCCAGCATGGGCGGCGGGTACCATAGGCATGGGAAGACGTTGCCTTCCCAAACAGCCTGATGTCCCCCCACCCGTGCTCCACCCCCAGGCTCCATCCTGCCTGCTGTTCCCTGGAGCAGGCACGCTGGGGGCCGCCCCACGCCGCTCATCCTCCCGGCGCTGGGGCCTTGCTGCCTGCCCAGCGCTGGGGCTGGGGGCACTCTGGCCATGACGCCTGCCCAAGGCTGGAGGCACTCCGGCCAAGCTGCTTGCCTGCCTGCCCACTGAGTGCTGGGGCGAGGGAGGCCAGCCGTCCAGGGGTCAGGCCAGGCAGCATGACCTGGGGAGGCTGGGCCACGCTGCCCAGCGCTTTGGGGGGCGCTAGCCTGGAGCAGGGGCCAGCAGCCACAGTGCGGGGGGGCTGGGGGCACTGGGCAGGGGCCAGTGGCTACAGTGGCGGCTGGGCTCCGGTGGGCGCAGACGGGGCAGGACCTCAAGTGGAAGGGGAGGGGCTGGGGAGCTAGCCACCTCCCCATGCTAGGGGTTCGCCCACCACCCATGCAGCCCAGTGCCAGGTTAAGAAGTAAGGGGGACCCCAGCCCTGCCCCGTGTAACTAGGACAACCAGAAACCACTTGCCAGTCCCCTCCCAACTAAGAGACATCAATAGAGCCAGTCAGTGATAACAAAATAAACTCAGCTGCCCAGACGATCCAGCCGGAGAGGGAGTGCCCAGCACTGCCGCTGCTTTCTGCTCAGCAGCTGGGAGCAGCCTCTCGCCCAGCACAGGTTGATATAGACAGAGAATTCGCCATTGAATTCTGTGGACATTTTGTTGTGTGACATTTTTGATGCTTTTTGAATGCTTAACTAGCAACATCTAGCGACTTTCCAGGGCTTCTCTGGCAATTTCCTGCCATGTGGAGTTGGCACCACTGATCTGGAAGAATATATAAAATCATTTCTGGGAAAGTTAGGAGCTGTCACGCAGATTGATAGAATGGTAAATAGTGAGAAGGACAGATCAGTCATACAGAGAGATCTGGATCATATGGTAAGGTGGGCTAACTGTAAGTTCATAAATCTAAGAGCCAAAAGTGTAGGCCATGGAAAGAGGACTGCATTCTGGAAAACAGTGGCTCAGAAGAGGACTTAGGGGTCATGATGGAAAGCAGTTGACCATGAGCTCCCCGTGTGGTGCCGTAACTAAGAGAGCAAATGTGATGCTTGGATGAATAAACAGGAGAATGTTGAATAGAAAATGCGAGGTGGTATTACCACCATATATGGCATCCGTGCGACCAGTACTCGATACTGTGTCCTGTTCTGGTGCCAATGCTTCCAAGGATGAACTGATTTTTCAACTAGTGTGCTTTAAAATATATTTGTGATTTTCAAGTCAATGCCCGTGTTTTGAAGAGAGAAAAAAACAAACACGATTTTAGCTTGTGCCTTTAAAATATCAGTAGAGATCTGGCTTAAAACAAAAAAGCCAGGAAATTAAGAGGTTATTTGGCAAAGATAAAAGTGTCCCACACATCAGTTAGTCCAGAGACATCTACGCATGATGGGACACCGTCAGTACCAGGTTGAGTAATCGAGAACGCCAGTCAGAGAAATAACCCACTTCCTCCCCTGATGAACCCCACCCATGTATTTATTCACTACACCAATACTGACGTGGACTCTAAATACATTCAGTGGGTGGCGTACCCGAGACCACTTATCCACTGACATTTTAAAAACTCCCGCAACACAATCTGGGTCTATGCTGGTTATGTGCTATGTATGTATCCTGTAATCTTGTAACCAATACTTGTAATCCCTCAAAACTCAAGCCTGATCCCAGATGTATAGTACCTTTCGTCTTAACTTGTGTAAATTTGATTTTAAACATTAGCTTTAATAAACTTTTAAAATCTGTTCTTATCAGTTTAAAACAGGGGTTGGCAACCTTTCAGAAGTGGTGTGCCAAGTCTTCATTTATTCACTTTAATGTAAGGTTTCACGTGCCAGTAATACATTTTAACATTTTTTAGAAGATCTCTCTCCCTATAAAAGTCTATATATTATATAACTAGACTATTGTTGTATTGTAAAATAAGCAAGGTTTTCAAAATGTTTAAGAAGCTTCATTTAAAATTAAATTAAAATGTTGATCTTATGCCGCCGGCCCACTCAGCCCGCTGCTGGTCTGGGGTTCTGTTCTCCTAGGCCAGCAGTGGGCTGACCGGGGCCTGCGGCCCAGACCCCAGCTGGCAAGGGGCCGACAGCCAGAACCCCAGACCGGCAGCAGGCTGAGCAGGGCTGGCGCCTGGGACCCCAGACCGGCAGTGGGCTGAGCGGCTCAGCCCGCTGCCACTCAGGGGTTCCATCTACCAGCTCTTGCCAGCCGGGATCCCGGCTG